ACTTTTCTCTGTCATTAGAGGCTCTGAAAATGTGGTTTTGGGTGGCCATGTAGCATTTCTTCATGCAGCTCTGCTGTACTTAACTATTTCTTGTTGGACATTGAAATTGTTTATAGTTTTTTTTACTGTTATAAATAATGTTACAAAAAAAAATTTTGACAACAAGCCTCCTTCAGGGTCTCTCTGATTATTCCCTCAGGTGAGAAATTCTTAGATACACTGATGTGAGATCTAAGAGAAGAGGAACTTTTTGAAGCTCTGAGTATGTATTGCCAAATTGGTACCCAATGTTCTTGTGATTTAAGGGCACACAAATAGAGAGCTCACCTAGACTTTCCAGAAAGTGGCCTTGGGCTTTTGGTTCTCACAGAGCAGTGAAAAAACAAAAACAAAACACCAAGGGACTGATGTACAGTCCCAACTACTCGGTCGAGCAGAGCTTTTTCTGCCCTCCTGTTTATTCTCGCAGTGAGAAGAAATGAATTTAATCCAAAACTGTAGGGATCTGATTTCAGACCAAAGGACGGTTCTTCAAATGGAATAAACTACATTTTTGAAAACCTCACTTCACTGTCCTTATTTCCACTTATTTCTCTTTGGACCTGTGCACATTCGAAACTCAATTTTAGCTTTACCTTTTTTTAAAAAGATAAAAAAAAAATCTTTATCTTCAGGCTTCACAAAAACACTTTTTCTTTCCATGTCATATAAGCAATGAATTCTTTCCGATGCTTCCAGTGGGTTACGATAGCTTTTCTATGCACCCTTTCTAGTCCTCAGAGGCTTATCAAATCCAGACACACTTATTGATATTTTTATACATATGTATGTTTTCCATTTGCTATAACGTGTATTTAAGGAGGGCAGCGGTTTTGGTGGAAGTGAGAAAGAGGACCTGTGAGGGAGAGGACCTGTGTCGGGGCCTCTGAGATGGAGATGCACGTCCTAGCTCAAAATCGGCTTGGTGTTTGACAACAGCCTGTGCAACATTAACATTTTTTTTCTTCTTTTTGTATTAAACTTTTAATTTTGAAAAATTCAAACCAAGAGAAAATTTGCAAGACTAGCACAACAAACTCGTATATATCCTTCCCCTAGATCCGTTCATCATTTTGCCCCATTTACCTGATTTTTCTCTTTCTATATGCGTACTATAATATTATACACATTTGAGAATAAGTTACAGAGATAATAATCCTTTATCCTGTTTTACTTCAGCATCTATTTTCTAAGAACGAGGACATTCTCTCATGGTACCATGATGTAGTTATCAAATTCAGGAAGTGTGTGCAATATTGGATTCTTCCAACGGTCCCAGCTTTTAGAGCACCTTTTTCCTCCTGACCAGGTATCTAATCAAGAATTAGGTCTGACATTTCGTTGTCCTGTCTCTTTTGTCTCCTTGAGTCAGAAACAGTTCCTCTGCGTTTCATTAGGGCGTGGATGTTTTCTCAGAGTGCAGGCCTGTTGGTTTATAAACCTTCTTGCAGTTGAGGCCTGTCTGAGAGTTTCCTTGTGATTTATTTGAGCATATGTGTTACCACAAAACTTAGTGACTTAAAACAACGGTAAACGTTTGGTATTTCACGTAATTTTGTTGGGTCAGAGATTTGGGAGTGGCTTGCCTGGGTGGTTCTGGCTCAGGATCTCTCATGAGATCACAGTCAAAATGCCCCTGGGGCGTTCATCCTCTCAAGGCTTGAGGCTGGGGCATCTGCTCTCAAGATGGCTCCTTCCCTGCTGGGAGGTTTGTGAGGCCTCAGTTCCTCATGACATAGACGGTGGGATACTTGAGTGACCTCACCACATGGCAGCTGGCTTTCCCCAGAATGGATGGTCCACGGGAGGGAGCAAAGAGGAAGCCTCAATGTCTTATGACCCGGTCTCGGAAGTCACATACCGTCACTTCTGCATCTGTCCCTGTTTGGTGGTTTTAAAATATACCCACAAATTCTTTGATATCCTTCCCTTCAAAAGATGGACGGCCGGCCCTGTGGCTTAGCGGTTAAGTGCGCGCGCTCCGCTGCTGGCGGCCCAGGTTCGGACCCCGGCGCGCACCGCTTCTCCGGCCATGCTGAGGCCGCGTCCCACATACAGCAACTAGAAGGATGTGCAGCTGTGACATACAACTATCTACTGGGGCTTTGGGGGGAAAAATAAATAAATAAAATCTTAAAAAAAAAAAACAAAAACAAAAGATGGAGCCTAATTCTCCTCCCTTGAGTGTGGGCCGGACTCCCCCCTGTGGAGCACAGTGCTGAGTGACTCCTTCCGTGAATTGGAAGCCTGTGGTGTCCAAGGATTCAGGTCCTGCTGGCTAGGGCAGGTGGGGATGCCCTGTCTCATCAGGACACCAGAGCCGTCAGGCTTCCAGCCTGGGCTGACGTTCCTCCTGTGCCCGAAGCTGGGCCTCAGATACAGTAGGGCTGAGAATGTAAAGGGGCTGAGAAGAGTGAGCCCCTGTCAGAGGCTCTCAGACAAGCCTGTTCACGTGGAAACGCCACCCCAGTGACAGCAAAGCCTGGGCCGCTGCCGGAAGCCTCAGAGCTCGCTGCAGAAGCTGGCCTGGCGTTAGGAAGAGGGCCCTGGAGCTCGCTGGAAGACCCTGAGAGGGAGGAGAGGAGAAATTGCTCACGTCTTGGTAGGAGGGAGGGCTAGCTGGGGAGATTACACCACCAGAGGAGGTTACACCACCTCTCTGAGTTTTGTCTTTAAAATGGGAACAGTAAATACTAACACAGAAAGTGGTTTTGAGAGTTAGAGTACTACATTTCATGGGTTATAAGGCACTTTTTTAAATATTTAAACGTTTCTGAAATTAGGATGTGTCTTAAAATCAATACATTCTGCAGGTACGATTGGCAGCATTTGTCTTTCTTATTGATTCAAAAAAGAATTTTGTGTCTTCTAACCATTGGCTTCTTAACTTTCATGAAATCCTGTAGACTGGAGAATGGTAGCACTAAGGAATTACTAATTTTTTAAGGTGTTACAGTGATGTTGTGTTTACTATAAAAAAGAATCCTTATCTCTTAGAGATGTATATTAAAATATTTATGGATGCTGCAATGTGCTGGATTTTGCTTAAAAATAATCTAGGATTGGATAGTAACAAGACTTTAGTGGTAAGCACTTTGTTGTGTATACAGTTATATACCTAAAACTTATATAATGTTATATGCCAATTTTACCTCAATGATAAATACATAGATAAATAAAATAAAGTTTCCAGATGAAAGGAAAAAAAATTCTGGGATAGGGGAGTGGATGAGGGCATATAGATGGATCAGGATTGACCATGCATTGAGAGTTGTTGAAGTCACGTGAAAGGTACATAGGAGTTTCTTATGGTGTTCTCTCTACTTGTTGTATGTTTGAAAATTTTCATAGTAAAAGGAAAGAAAGCACAAACAAATAAGCTGTGTACACAAAGGGCTCTTCCTTGGCTGTTTGCGGGCTGGATCCCTCATTATTCAGGTCTCATCCTAAATGTCACCTCCTCTAAGAGGCCGTCCCTGGTTACCTGTGGTTGTTCCCCTTCCCACTCCCCTCAATAGTTGCTCTCTGTTTCATACCCTCCTTTTCTTCATGGCACCATCACTTTCTGAAATTATTGATATGTTTGCTTACTTGATCATTGTCCCCCTGAATGTAAGCTCTGTGGGAGCAGGGGCTTTACCCATCTGGCACATGGGAGGCGATCAGGAAATATTTGGTGACTGACTATTACACTGGTACAGTGCCTGGCACGTGGCAGTCAGCAGATGTTAATTCACCCTCCTCCTGCCTGGTCCTCCATCTCTTTGATCTGCCCCTCAGCTGCCTGTAAGGCCTTCCCTTTCTCCCCGGCAGCCTGGCTGGTCTTCAGCATTTATCCCCTCCTCGCATTTCCAGCCCACCCCTTGGTCGAGTCTTTGGCCAGCCTGGCATTCAAACCCTGATCCTTCTGGCTTCGGTCTTGGGTTTCTGTTCCTCCCCTATCTAGCTGTCAGCCATTTCCTGCTGGTGATTTCCAGGAACTGCCCGGTCCCTGGGATGACACTAGGAGTTTGTCATCGGTCACTCTGAGGAGAGAATTCTGTGTCAACCAGGGAACCGTCTCTGCAAAGTAACAGAAAACCCTGCTAAACAAAGAGGGAGCCTATTGGTTCCTATCACTGCCAGTCAAGGCTCACACCAGAGACTGGTGGGCTCAGCCCCGCCCCCTGAAGTTGCCACGGAATGGAGCAGGGGTGGCTTGGGTACTGGGGGGTAGTCGGTGTCCCCTACAGAGGACATGTTCGTATTCCTTCCTGGAATGTTCATATGTCCTAGCCCTCGGTTCATGCATTCAGTGCACCACCTTTGTTGAGCATAGACGCTGCTGGGACGAAGTGTCGGGAAGATGCTGGGAGAAGGCGGGGAGAGACTCGAGTGGTGCCTGATAACCGAGTTCTGTGGGGGACAGGGCTGAAATGCAGGTGTGGGCACGGGGCTGGAGGAGTGTGGGGGAGCAGCAGCTGCCCCAGACGGGGTCCCAGGGCCTTCCCAGAGGGGTTGGGCTGTTCTTGAAAGATGTCAGAGAGTTTGCCAAGTAGAGAGGGGAGGAAAGGGCGTTCCGGGCAGAGGGCACAGTCTGAGCAAAGGCCTGGCAGGGGGATTGGAGGGAGTGGACAGTTGGGAGAGCCACTGGGGAGAGAGAAGGGACAGTCTCCTTCCCTCTGATTCTGCTTGGTTTGTATGTTGCTCAAATATGAAAATTGCTTTAAAGCTTAAAAACAGTATCCCACAGTTCAAGCTTGTTGTGTGTCATGGTTAGAACTTTTCTTGGATCTGCTGGGGCTCCTAGTGGAATGTGGGGGGCTCTAGAAGATCCCAGCAGATTATTTCCCATTCCCAGGGGGAGGCCTCCAGATGGTGACCCATGTCCCCTTCATCGCTCCATCCCCAGCACCAGCCTCAGCCTGGTACACACAGTCGGCAGTGGGTTCTCAATTCCTGAACTTGTGTTGTATCTGCAGGTGCAGAGAGAAGAAATACGATTATGGACGTTTGCCCACGACATCTGTTGTCATAGCGTTTTATAATGAAGCCTGGTCAACTCTCCTTCGGACAGTTTATAGCGTCCTCGAGACGTCCCCAGACATCCTGCTAGAGGAAGTTATCCTCGTAGATGACTACAGCGATAGAGGTAAGCCCCCCACAGGGGCTCTTGGAGGAGCCTGGCCTTCCGTGGCAGCGCCTGGAAGGTGAGAGTGTGACATGAGAGATGTGGAATAAGCCTGGTAAGGACGGGACTCCTGTGTCCCTCTGAGCCCAGCCACTGCCCTCAGGGAGCTCAGACCCTGGCAGGGGACGCAGGTGTGATGACACAGGGCTCTACCCCACAGTGCTATGGGAGACAGTGGAGAGGGCCCTGCTCGGCCTGGGTGCTCAGGAGTGGTGGTTGACCTTGGTCTTGGAGGTCGAGTAGTTTGCAGGCAGCAAAGCTGGAGGGAGGGCCTTTCACGTGCAGGGCAGAGAACATGGAAAGGCCTGGGGTGCAGTGCTACATGGATCATGTAGGATGTGCAAGTCATTCAGGAAGGATGGAGGGCCAGCTGCTTCGGGGGGTACAGGAGAGGAGAGGAGACAAGAGGCAGGAGATGTGGGGAAAGGTGCAGTGTTAGACACGAGGCTGAGGAGCTGGGACTTTGTCCCAAGGGCAGGGAGAGCAGTCTTGTCCTTTGGGGGATCCCTCTGGGCTGGAGTGTGGAGAATGGTGTGCGGGGGAGCTGGGCGGGGAGGCAGGGGGCTGTTGAGGGGGCCAGGGGAGCGGTGGAGGCTTGGAGTCAGGTGGAGTGGGGGGGGCAGGAGAGGGGAGGGGAGAGCGGTGTTTGAGAGGAGGCACCCACAGGACAGGAGACTGGCTGTGGCGTGAGAAGGACTCGGGCGTCTCTGGCCTGGGTCTCTGGGTGAATGGTGGTGCCGTCCCAGAGCTGGAAGATCCACCCAGGGAGAGAGGGACAGGTCGGGAGAGGAAGGAGGGCGTTGGGCTTTGGATATGTTGAATTTGAGATGAGATCAAAGGGACAGGCCAGATGGGAGAAGAACTGAAGCCAGGAAGAGGCGTTCTGTTGAGAGGGTGGTCCATGTCCCAGGAGGCCTGGCCAGTGACCTGGGATCCAGCAATTCACATGCGCTCCAGGGCTGGCCCGTTATTAGTCAGTGCACGTTTTTTGAGTTTCTACTGTGTGTTCCAGGCACTGTTCTAGGCACTGGGGTTTCCCTGAGAAACAATGCAAGACAAGTCCTTCCTCTCATAAAACTCACATTCTGGTGAGGTGGGCGGAGATGGTCAATGAGCATGTAAGGAACGTAACATCACATATGTATCGCATAATATTACACAACACGTTATAACATAGTGTGGCGTAATATAATACATGATATAATATGATATTATAATGCAGCCGAGTGTTATAATGTGCTGTGGAAGAAGAAGGGGAGTGGCTGGGTGAGTGCAGCTCTGCTCTACTGGGGGAGGCCAGGAAGGCCTGTCTGAGGAAGTGGCCTTTAAGCCGAAAGCTGGAACGTGGGGAAGGAGGCAGCAATGAAGGTCTCGGGGGCAGTGGCCTGGGCCCAGCAGCAGCTGGAATGAGCGGGCCATTCTCCAGGGCAGACCACCGGCCCGTGGGGAGGTGACTTGGGAGACGAGGTTGCGGGGTGGGCAGGGCCAGATCAGGTTGGGCCTTGGAGGCCACCATAGAGGTTTAGGCTTCAATACGAGCTGATGGGAGCCATCGAGGGCTGTTAGGGAAGCAGGAGGTCTGCCTGGTCTGGGAGCTCACTGTGCCGCGTGGAGCGTGGCCGATGGTGGGTGAGGCAGGGCGGGAATGGAAGCACGGAGGCTGTGGGGGCTGCTGTGCCTTGGCTGGCTGGGGCTGGCGGGGTCGGTGGAGTAGCAGTCAGTTGGTAGACCTTTGACTAGCTGAAGTGGGGGCAGCTCAGCGTAACTGAGGGCAAAGGTCAAGGCCGTGGCAACAGGTATTGCCGAAGGCTTAGTTGCCAGAGCCTGCTTCAAACGCAGTTACCATCTCTGGGCCACCCACAGGGTAGCAGCTACTGCTCAGTGGGCATATGCTGTTCAGGCTCGGCCTGGTCTGTCTGCCTTCAGAGCCTGGTGCATTTGTCCTAATTGGTGGGTGTGTTTGGCTGTTCTCACAGAGACTCAAAATAACAGTGATTTACGCGAGATAAAAATCGATTTCTCTCTCACATCACAAATCTGGTATAACAGTCTAGGGCAGGTGTGGCGCCTGGCTCTCTGCCCTGAGTCTCCACCTTCTCTAGGATGTTGTGCTGCCCTGGTCCGCGTGCTCCAGGCTGGTTCTTCACCTCCTGCTCACTCCCGTCAGCAGAAGGGTTTCCAGGCGCTGGGGAGCCACATCTGGAAGTTCTCCTCACATCCCATTGAGCAGAACAGGGTCACCTGGCCACACCTAGCTGCAAGGGAGGCTGGGAAATGTAGTCTGTATCGTAGGTAGCCGTGTACTCAGCGGAAAATCCCAGGAGAGTGAGTTTGAGGGGACAGTTGGCATTCTCCATGACAGCGTGCAAGCCAGGCTGGGGTTTGAGGCCGAGTGTGGCTGACTCGGCACTGGGTTCTGGGGTCAGGCACCTGGGTCTGAGGTGAGCTTTACCCTGGGCAAGTCGGTGTCTCCTCTGAGCCTCAGTGTCTCCCCCGTGAGTGGGTTTGTCCACCCCGTCTCAGAGTTGTGGTGAGGAATAAATGGGATCATGTATGGGACAGAGCCTCGTGTGGCCGCAGCACGCCCTAGGCACTCATCTCCCTTCTCTTTTTCCTCTCCTCCCAGGGTGGTTTTAAGTCTGTGTAGACACTGGATCTGGGTCACACCGCATGGGCTTGAATCCCAGCTCCAACACTTTGCAGCTACACAGCCTGGAGCATGGAGCCTAACCGGTTTCAGCCTTAGCTTCAGCCCCTGTCAAATGGGATAATAGTTCCTACCTCGTAGGGTAGTTGTGAGGATTAAGTGAGATCAAGGCGGTAACATCCTAGGCCTGTGCCTGACATGTTGTCAGCGCTTATTAAATGATAACTTCTATTTTTATGAAACATTTAAACTGTAAAGTGCTGGCAACATTTCAGAAATGTATTCATTCAGATGCAAATGTCAGATTAGTTATTTTCTCTTTATGGGATTCACTGGCTCCTCGGGAGGCAGGAGTACTCTATGAACCCTTCCAGCCCAGCTCAGTTCTCTGTAAATGTAACGCGCTGTGGGGCCAAGCTGTCCCTTCCCATCGTGGTGACTTGTAAAGCAGGCGAGGTGCCTGCTCCACCCGAGATGGAGGTGAGTTCTGCCCTGCCCCTGCTCTGCCCTCTCTGCAGTGTCAGTCTGAGCTCCATGAAGGGAGTCAGCCCCTCCCAGGGGCGGAAGACAGTCCAGGCAGACAGAAAACTAGTGCTGGCCAAATCTGTACCCAGTGCAGGGAGGCTGCACGTGCGTTTTCAGGGCGCTGCGCTAATTAGCTTTGCTGGGGAAGTCACCTCCCTTACTCCTGCCATCAGCTTATTTGCAATTATATTTAGGATTGAAAAAAAATCAACCAATGAATGTTTTTTTGAGTGTTGAGGATATTTAGGGAAACATTTGCACAAACTATGAAGCAACCTAGAACATTTTACAAAATTTCCCATTTTGCTGAAGATGGAGGACTTTGAGACAAAGCCCATGTTGATGTGGGGAGATGCTCTCATCTTTATTTTGCCTAAGGAGTTCCCATCTACCTCCACCTACCCATTGTGGCCTCCAGTCCCGGAGCCTGTGTGGGAAGGGGCCTGCATGTGGAGCCGGGAGTCCTGGGCCTGCCCTAGCTGTGGGCACGTCCTTTCAGCTTTTAAGGACTCATTTCCTCTTCTGCAAAATGGGAGAAGCGTGTCCTCCTGATGGGTTTTGGATTTGTTGAACAAGGATGAGAAGTTGCGCGAGCGAGCAGGCTCTGGGAGGCAGCGGTAAGCCTGTAGACTCAGCCAGTGTCCCTGGTTTAAATCATGGCTCCTCAGCTGTCTTGCTCTGAGACCTTGACCTTGGCAAGTTACTTAGCCTCTCCGGCCTCAGTGTTCTCATCTATAGCATGGGGACATTAGCAGTACCTACCTCACAGGATTGTTATGACTCACGAGTTGTACAGAAATCACTTGGACCGTAATGAGTGCAGTAGGCCCTCTACTGTTAGCTGCTGTTATTATTACTCTCACTCTGTAACTGAAATGTATTCGGGAGAAAATTTATATTAACATAATTATAAATAAAATGTATATTAACATAATTCCATATAAATGAAAAATTTTATGATAAAGTTTTACATAATTAACATAAATTAAAGAAATTCATATGAACACAATTTTTCCTAAAAATTGTAGTTGGACAGTTCTTGTGCTTTTTATTTTTAAAGTTCACAAGTCGAGGTATAAAGTATTTTTTTGGTAACAGCTTTTTTTTTTTTTTTTTTTTTTTTGTGAGGAAGTTTGGCCCTGAGCTAACATCTGCCAATCCTCCTCTTTTTGCTGAGGAAAGAAGACTGGCCCTGGGCTAACATCCACGCCCATCTTCCTCCACTTTATATGGGATGCCGCCACAGCATGGCTTGACAAGCAGTGCATCAGTGCACACCCGGGATCCGAACCGGCGAACCGCGGGCTGCCACAGCAGAGCATGCACACTTAACCGCCTGCGCCACCAGGCCAACCGCATGGTAATAGCTTTGTTGAGATATAAAGATGAATATATCTTTGTTGAACTTTTGTACATATGCATGGATGTTCAATTCAATGTGCATGTGTTTGCATGGGGAGCGTTGGTGGTTCTGGAATTCCTCCACCCCAGCCTCCCTGGCCTTTGAGTAGCTTCCAGCCCTGGTTCTGGTGAGGTGAGGACAGCCCAGGTGCAGAGTGAAGGAGGCTCGCATCTATTTAGTCTTCTTTTGGGGACAGGGAGGCCCTGGAAGGACACGGCTTGGGACGAGTGGCAGTGATCCTGTCCTGCTTGCCCCCCCAGAGCACCTGAAGGAGCGGCTGGCCAGCGAGCTGTCGGGGCTGCCCAAGGTGCGCCTGATCCGCGCCAACAGGAGGGAGGGCCTGGTGCGGGCCCGGCTGCTGGGGGCTTCCGTGGCCAAGGGCGACGTGCTGACCTTCCTGGACTGCCACTGTGAGTGCCACGAGGGGTGGCTGGAGCCGCTGCTGCAGAGGTGAGCGAGCTGTCCGTGCGGGCAGCGTCCCAATGTTACACACGAGCGGAAACAAACTGATCACCGGGGTGTGAGAGGCCAGCGCCTGGGGTCAGACCCTCCTCCGGCCAGTCCTCTGTCACTCGGCGGGATAACAGTTCCTACCTCCTTGTGGGGCCGTTAAATGGTTCAGTGCACGGACAGTGCGTAGAACCTGCCAGCACTTGGGAGCCCTAGCCGGGTGTTTGCTTTTATTAAACTCATTTACTATACAAAACTTAAAAAGTGTGATCAACCAAGGAAAAAAAAATATCAAGCATATAGAATCACCCTCGTAGAGAATGTGCATTTTGGTGTATTTCCTTAGAGCAGGCTGACCTGTCCGTTACACCAGTACCTACGATGCCTCTGGCACGTGAAACTCGAAGGGGCCCACAAAAGGGTTATGTTTATTTCTCTTAAAATCACAAGGAAAAAAATGAACATCATGATAATGGCTATATAACAATGAATCTAGCCTGGATTGTGTTTGTCTTTATACCAGTATAGTCATAAAATATAGTTTCTAACATGTATTTTTTATGGAGTCATGATAAGTCATAATACAGCCCTGTCTTGAAGGCCGTTTCTCACACATTGTCCCACAGCCTCTTACACCAGCCCTCCCAACCTGCCCCTCCCCAAAACCACCGTCACTGGGCCCTAGTTCTGTTCTTTTCTCCTCCCCCTCTCTCTCCCCATTCTCCTGATTCTGCATCACAGCAATCAGGAGCTGGGCTGGCCAACCCGGAGCTCCTTCAGGTGGGAGGGGAGGGCTTGTGTGGGGCGTCTCTGTTTGGCTGGAAGATCAGGGTCTGCAGTTTGCAAACCGCTTCCCCATGGCCTCCTGCACTTTGGTTGCCAGGGTCTGTCTGGAAGAGCTGGAGTCCCACTTGCCTCCCTTCCTGGGTGAGACCCAGCTGTCCCCTGCCCTGCGACTTCCTGCTGTCCCCGGCCCTTGTCCTCTGTGGGTGCCATGGCTGCCTCTTTCTCCTCCTCATCAGCAAAGATTCAGGGTTGCACAGGCCTGTGATGGAGTCTGAGATTATTTAGAACATGCTGGCAGCCGAGTGCTCCCTCTGGAACCTGGACCAGTGGGTTTGCCTTCACCCCTTCCGCTACTGTGCACGCAGATGGCCACCTCTAGGCCAGTCTGGAGTCAGCAGAGGCGCTAATACCCCCTAGAATTCCCCTCCAGCCCACCCTTTGGATAGCGAGAGGCAGCCCTCCCCATAGATAAGGCCTTGCTCTGTAGACAAATCCTTGCTCCGTACCTGTAGACACAGTGATTCTCCACGCTGGTTGCCCCCAAACATCTGGGGAGCTTTTTTTTTTTTTAATTTATTTTTTTATTGATGTTTTAATAGTTTATAACATTGTGAAATTTTGGGTTGTACATTTTTGTTTGTCCATCACCATATATATGTCTCCCTTCACCCCTTGTGCCCACCCCCCACCCCCATTGCCCCTGGTAACCACAATAGTTTTCTCTGTCCATGTGTTGGTTTATATTCCACATGAGTGAGATCATAC